TAAACAATTTAGAATCTACACTACCCCAGAATGCTTCCACATAAGTTTCAGCTTTTCTGGCCCAGTGGTTCTTGAGAAGAAGATTTTCAAAGATTTTTCCTATATATTTCTATTTAAAACTTTAATTCCACATTATGGCCCCGCCCGTCCGCCGGGGGTCATGATTTGTATAATTTAAAATCTACACTACCCCAGGATGCTTCCACATAAGTTTCAGCTTTACTGGCCCAGTGGTTTTTTAGAAAAAGATTTTCTAATGACCCAACCCTATTTTTGTCTTTTCTTAAATATCTCCCCTTGCGAGGGGATATGTCCCTTCATTTTAACAATTTAAATTCCCCTTTACCCAAGAATGCTTTGTACTAAGTTTGATCAAAATTGGCCCAGTGTTTCTTGAGAAGAAGTCGAAAATGTGAAAAGTTTACAGACGGACAGACAGACGGACGGACGGATAGACAGACAGACAGACGGACGGACGGACGACGGACAAAATGTGATCAGAAAAGCTCACTTGAGCCTTCGGCTCAGGTGAGCTTAAAAGGTTATGCATTTTAAATTTTTTTTTTACATAGTGTACATGGTTTAGTCAAGTTCTACATATGAATGCGTAGGGAAAATCTTTAAAATCCTTCTCAAAAGCAACAAAGCAAATGATTAGTTATATTAATGTAGAATCATAAGGTTACCAAAACATTACATTGCGTGCTTCGACTTTTCCACTCGGTAATCAGAGTTTTGTTGATTCGATACGAAAGAGCATGCTCTACGTATGAACAATTTCTAAAACGAGGTAAATTATTGACAAGCAAGTTGATGAAACAGGAATATCAGCAGACTCGTTTAAAGTCATCATTTCGTAAGTTCTATGGTCGATACAGTAACCTTGTCAGCAAATATAATTTATCATTGAGTCAAATGCTGTTTGACGTTTTTCATACTAACTATTAGTCCATTATTTATACACCGAATTGACAACGGATTTTTCCGTTATTAAAGGATCATGACAAGGAGCACACGGCGGGTGTGACCGGTCAGCAGGGGGATGCTAACTTCTCCATGGCACCTGATCCCACCTCTGATGTTTCGGAGGTCCGTGTTTGTTCTGCTCCTATTTTGTATTGTTTTATGGACTTTGATATTGAATACTGTTCGTTATCTCCATATCCTTAAATTCAGATATCCGGACGCTTCACATATCCGGACAAATTTCCTAGGAACCAAAGCGTTCGGATGAATGAGGCTCCACTTAACATTAACGTGAAGACAATGGTAATAACCAATTTGCAAGAGCAGAAAATATTAGAATCTACACTAGCTAAGAAAGCTTTCAATTGTGTTAGTTTTCTTGCTCAGTGGTTCTTGAGAAGAAACAAGATGAAATCAAACCATCCAATGACTGAAACAGATACATTGTGACAATACATAACAGAGGTCACCTCAATGTTGTCTCGAAGTAAGGAAAAGTCCCACATAAAACTAATAAACTAGTAGTGTTCATCCCAAGATGCATCATTTCTGCAATTTAATCTGTATACATAGTAATAGACATGCATCCAAAACTCCAACCTGGTTCGTTATCTGGACAGTGTATTCCAGGTCCAGCATCTGAAGCAATCCAATAGTATGCATCCTTAGATCTATGTATCAACCATGCAAGTTTGGTCAATATAGAGCTCATGGTTACTTAGAAATGGGACCCGCACCAAAAACCTATTCACTCAACCAGAAAATGTAGGTCAGATCTAGCATCCGAAGCAAGCCTGGTAGTATGCATCCTTAGATTACATCATTCATTCATGTTTTGTCAACAATCTTCTCATAGTTTATTGGAAATGTGACCTGTACCAAAAACTTGACCCTGTTCACTCAACCAGATAATGTAGGTCAGATCCGGCATCAGAAGCATACATGGAAGTGTGCATCCTTATATTATAGATCTATCATTCATGCATGATTGGTCAACATACGACACACAGTTACTTGGAAATGTTACCTGCATCAAAGAATTGTTCACTCAAAAGGAAAATTTAGGTCAAATCAAGCATCCTAAGCATGCCCTACATGAGTCACAGATGCATGGAGGATGTTTCTATAGTGTTTCATTGTACCAGCGCAGATGCTGCAATTTCAGCAAAGAAATGACCAGGTTAATGTTTAAGGAGCAGGTTAAGTAACTTTGAGCCCTTTTTTTGACTAAACTTGCATGAATTATATATCATAAGATATACACTACAAGGCTGATATCAGAAGTACTTAAAATTCTTTAATCGTAAATAGAAAACTGCACTAAAACGTTTACCTGGGACGCCAACATCGACGCCAAGGGTATCACATACTCCCCCCCCCCTCCCTCCAATTTTTTTTGTGGTGAGCTAAAAATTAAGCCTTGGGGACAGAGATGGGTAGAATGGTCTCTGATAAACATCCTATCCATTACAATTCCTTAATAATTCACTGACTAATCATTCAAGTGAATGGAAAATATTTTTCAGTGACCATTCAGCCACATTTCCGTTACTTTTCACCCATATTTTAGTGACCATTCAGCAATACTTCAGTGGCAATGTTAAACTTTGATAAGTATCTATGGTGGCGCTTTGGTTATAGCGTCTGCTCTAGCGTCGCGGAATAAGGAGCAATTCGTACGTCGCCGGTTCGAATCTACCCGTGGGACATGGAGACCGGTCCTTCAGATGGAACCTCATAAACCGAGGACCCGTGTCGTAGAAGTTGTTGGCACAAACAAAATTCCTAACTGCTCAGTGGTCCTGAGTGCCAAGTATTGGACAAAAACTGCACCTCTCCATCGGCAAATGTTGTCGTCTCCCCAATTAAAAAATTGTCGAGAGGAACGTAAAGCAATAAGCAATTAAACCTGTGATGGCACCACCCTTTCTTGCGGGCCATGTTATGGACAATATCAAATTTATACTACCTATAACCATAGTACTTTAAGGATGATTTGTATCAACTTGTTAAAAACTGGTTCAGATCTGTAAGTCTTGAGACGAAGTTGAAAATGTGAGAAGTTTACAGACAGATAGGCGAATGCGAGACCAATGGTGATCAGAAAAGCTCGCTTACATCTCAGGTGAGCTTAAACAGATCATTGAACTACATGTATATAAAAAAATTCTAAAACAGAAAGAAAATCTTCACCCAAAATCAATTGATACAAAATAACATACAGCTCTATAGAAAATTGACATATGAAAATAATTGTACACACATGAAAAAAAATACTTTGAAGTTCTAAAATTTGAAATCTTGTGCATCCAAAAATATTCTACAGTAATTTGACATACTAAAATCAATTTGAGTACAAATGCAAAATATAATGTTAAATTTGTATTCTGTTGTTTCTTAGAATATTTTTTTCCTGTGCCCTTCACTTTGAAACAATACATTCTTTGATATTGATTTAGGTCGTTGTAAAAGGTATGAATTCATTGTAATCAGTGGTTTCAATATTGCAAACAACAAGCATTCTGAGAGTATCACATAAGCAATACATGTTCCCCACTGCAATCACCATTTCTCTTTAGGGTCTCATTTTATAAGATCCTGTATATGAAAAGGTGGCCCCATAATGTGAAAATTTTGGCAATTACTTGATTATGATCGAAATGTTTGGAATGAAGTCGATTTGTCTAACAAAGAAAATAGTGTTTGAATGCCATTAAATATACATACGTGCTTTTATAAGACCAGCTCAGTTTACATGACTAAAAATAATATTTAAAACGTCAAACTTGATCTATAGTTGTCCATGCAATATTCAGATTCATATTTTTTAACACGAAAATCCCAATTAGAACATAGATTTTTCGAAGCACAAACTCGATCGTAGACCATTTGTAAAAATACAATAATTCCGTCAAAAATCATTGAAGCAAATTTAACCAAATACAAACTCTATATGTAACTCATCAAAATACACTTACATATGAAAAAAATCATTGACAATCGGTAGAAAAGGAAATAGGGAACCTCCAAATCATCAGAGATGAGATCAAGTGCCATGGAGGAGTAAATATCTCCCGTCGAACAATGATACCCATCATGTTCTCACGGTAATGATTAGTAAAACGGAAAAACTCATAGACAATTAAATGTTTAAATAATGACCCTAAATCAGTGTGAACAGTGTCACCTCAAGCATTCGATATATTGACAGACTCTATTTCTTAATAAGGTGATTGTGTTGACCTTAGAACTTTCGAAATGATGACTTTGAATGAGATTGTTAATAGCCTTGTTTCATCACTTTTTTTTTCTATATCTTAATACATACAAAATCATTGCTATTTGATTATGAGTCAGATTAGTTAAATGTTATAGAAAGTTCATGTAGTTATTTTATTACTCCATACATCATTACTCCTAATTTTGAGTCTCTTTGTTTTCAAGCTTCGATACTGCTGTTTGCATTTTTGGCACATCTGAGAGCATTGTCTTCACAATTTAATGCTGAATATCCATTTAATAATCCTTTTAATTTCAGATTTCTTTCAAAAGTTATTTGATTTTATATGAGCAAGCTGAAGGTTAATCAAGAACGTCTTTCCAAATTCTGCAATGTGATATTTCAAATATTTCACCCTACATGTCACAAAACTCATCCTTATTCATATCCCGCTAACTTTAAATCTTCAATGTGCTTTTGATTTTTTGCACATCTGAAACCAGAGAACGCAATATTTCCAAGTTAATAACATCTTCCTCTTTCATTGTCAAATTTTGAATTTCTGAGATCACAGACATATAAAATCACATTTTTTATGTCTCTGCTGAGACAGATGTTTCTGAATTCTTGCTGAGGAGTGAAAACATGGGTCACGTGTGCTGTTAAACGTTGAAACAACGCAAGTTTACTAAAAACTTGATATATATTCATCTTAATTTGAAAAAAAAAATTATTCATTTTTAATTGATATATCTATTTAAAGTTAAAGGTAATTTATTCTTCAAGGATTCATTTCACGTTTTAAGATATACACTCTTAATTCGACGCATGCTTCATTTCAAGCCTCTCTACCGCTGCTTTCACCACTTTCATATCTGACAACATTTCTTTCACCATTTCATGCTGATCTTCCATTTTGATCTTTTCTATTACAGCATCTTCAGTTTCCTTTCTTAAGGTCAGTTTCTTTATTTCATTCAGGTTGTCCAAGTACTTCTTTACTGTGAAGGTTTCCAATCTTTGGCAGATATCTGACATCAATGACCAGGTGTCATCGAATTCTGTCTGAGGGGTTGAGGCTGAACTCACATGAGCAGTCAAACCGTTTCGGATTGACCTAATTCTCTCAATATCATCACCAACTGTTTCCTCTCCTGCTGCAGGCTTTTCTCCCCATTTTCCTTTGGTTGGCAAAGGAATCTTTTTACAAATATTTCTGATCAATGTGTATGTTAATGATATATCAAAATTCTTATATCCCAAATGATTGGCATCTATCAAGAGTTGTTCTTGTTCCAGACGCAATTTTTTGTGAAAATTTGGTGATGCTTTCACTTTGTTATATATAAGGGAAGGGGGAACCTCCATCTCCAGTATGTCTCTGTATGCCTGATTTAACACATCGTTTGTTGCCATTCCAAGTTTCGCAAATCTAGATCGGCCCCCAAGGTCTTGTGCAGAGCCCGCCGAAGTGCTAGGATTACTCTGCTGTATCTGAAATACGATATCACCTGATTAAGTCAATATCAGTAGTAGAGGGAAAAAGGAAATCACTAAGAAGAAAATCGTATTAAAGTATCAGCTATGGATTTGTCTTAGAAATTAAGATCTTTAAAGTGGATATTCCTGTAAGTTGACACGGCATTTGATCAGAAAATGAAATTCAATGTTGCGATGACCTCAAAAGATATTAATGTTATACAATCATTAACTAAAAAAAAAACTTATCAGAATTGGTAAATTAATTTCGCAGTTGCCAATTGCAAGTTAATGTTTTTTAATTGATGTAGCATTATTTTTTCAGTTTAGAAGCATTACCTGTCTCCAATATTTTGTTATAGTGCTGGAGTTTATCACATGTTTTCCCACTGCTGGGCAGGACGGACAATTAAAAGTCGCTTTTGTAAACTTAGATTCATCTATGACAGCACTGTATTTGCTGTCACAAAATCCCACAGGTTTGCATTTGAAAGCAACCTGAAATTTGTTGTTTTTCTCAAATGTGTTTGAAAGATTTTGCAAAATACTCTCAATTTTTGCTCTAATCTGGTGACACGTTGTAACATCAACTTCTCCTTCCAAAACAAACACTTGCAACTGAATATCTGTTTGAGTCATTCCAAGCATAATAGTATGGTGCTGGTCTTCAAACTCAAAAATCGCCGCCGTCTGGTAAACACATCCTCGGTCCTCATCTGAAAAAATCTCCCAAGGAATCTGCATGCAAGTTGCTACAAGACGATGGAAAATTCCAGCAGGAAGAACATCAAACGTGTAGCAGAGGATGGAGGAGGCAGGGTATAATGAAAAACAATCTGCTGGAAATTGCAGCTTGTTCATGCAGGGGACAAACAATTTTTTGTCACCAATTTTAGCTAAGAGTCCTAACTTCTCCATGTACATTAAGATGTCTTCTTTATGCTCAATGTAACCATTGTTGTTCATTATCCATATAGCAGATAGTAGAGTTTCATCCAACTCTCCAGTTTCATTGAATTTGTCCCATTCAGAGGCAAATTCAAATAAATCCTCTTTTGCATGGTTTTTGTCTGTTATTACATTTTTAAATGCATCTGCAAACCACTGAACATCAAGAATAATACTTTCATTGAGAAATTGTTGGCTGAAATGTATAATTTCTCTTATGTCATGGAAGAACTGTAGCATGGCACTCATATCTTCAGTATTTTGGAGCTTTATTCCTTCTGGTAATGTTTCATTGAACGACACAAGGTCACCCCTACTCAAGATCTTGTGAATTTTCTTTTCCCGAAAGAATGTTTCAAACATAGCCCATGACTGTGGAAGCTCTTCACCCCACTGATCAAGCCTGCACACGACATCAGCAATGGACAGCTTGAGTTTTTCAATGCCTTCGTTATCATGGAAACCAACCTCAAATCGCCGCTTCACATCAATATGTTTTTGCAAAGACTTTTTCTTCATGTCAAGAGTCTTCCACACTTCACGGAAAAACAATTCCTTTTCCTATTCAACAAAAAATCATAAGCGTGTTTAATGAAAACAAAAACTAAAGTAATAGCAAAACAAAGTTTACATAAATCATGAATTTTTTTCTTACTCTTTGCTCAAACAGTCTTTATGAGACATAAGGTTAATTATACATGTACATATTATTATTATTATTATAAAGAATCCATGACAAGAAATCAATATACGTTTTTAAACAATAGATTGAAATAATCCATTGTTCACACACGAAAGAGAATCAAGTTGCCGTAGTGACTTCATTGTTCTAGTTTACAATAAATCCAATATTCCCTAATCTTATCTTAATTTTTGCAACACGAAAACAAGGTCCTGTTCTTTAACTATTTTTTCCCAATTACTTTTCCACAAAAGCATTACATTATCATCACCTTCTTTTTTCTAACAATAATGTCCGTTTCCACTTTTATTGAATTTCAAGTGTTTATTATTTTTTAACAATTGCTATGATGGCATATTTTTGTCCACATAATATGTATATATACATGTATCACGATTTTAAGTAAACACACAAATATTTAAGTATGATACCTTTTCTGTTTTGTTCTCACTATGTGTACCAACCAGGATGACAGGGGCCTTATCACTGCTGTACTGATGAATGGACTTCATCCAGAACTCAAGATAATCTGAATACAAAAAAACGCTCTGCTATATTTAAAAGTAACATAAAATGAATTTTTTATTTATACGGAATGCAGAAAATTATACTTATAGATATTTTACAGATTCCTTTATCTTCAAAATCTACTGTTGCAATATCTCTCTCTCTTCTTAAGCCTCTTATTTACCAAAAGTGATATTCATTGTATGTAAATAACAAGAATTTATGCTTTCTAAATCACATAAGCTCATTCATACAGTTGATATAAAAGACACCACAGAGTCTGACATATATGTTATTATTTGGATATATTAACCTAAAAGTGTCAATTATGTCATTATTATACAGTCTGTGGCACTTAAGCGCAGAATGGAGTATGATATCTGATATTGTAATACATTTGAAGCTTTTATCGTACTTAAACTGTGTCGCCAATGTCAATTACACTTTTGTCAACTCATTGTTTTTAATAACATATTCATTGTAAATAATAAATCTCTATTAATATCGTTAATATCCTACAAGGCTCAAAGTACATGTAAAGTATTTAATCCATGAAACCCTTTTCAGTGCTGACTTATAATTAAGTCAAATATTCGGACAACTAATGATAAGAAAAACTCACTTCGGCTTTCAGCTCAGTTAAGGTATAGATATAAGAGGTGGGTGGACTGACATGGATACCATGCCCTAATGTCTCTATTTTTATACATTATAACGATTAAATATGGTCATTTCATTTTTTCTTATAAACAATGTTATAGACAATTGTGATAGAGCTACAAGGGAGGGAAATAAAAAAGGTTATTCTTATTAAAAAAAAATATATATATAATTTTTCAGGTTAAAAGTTTCAAAAAACGAACAGGATCTTGAAAAATGAAAAATTAAAATAAGTTATTTCCATTTTTAATTAATGTCAATAAAATTCAACTTATCTGTTTTTGACCAGATGCAATGGTGACTGAAGAACTATTGATTCATTCTTTTACCATACATGTCATAACAAGAGATGTTTGGAAAACACTTTTGCCCCCCTCTCCCAAATAATTGGAATTTTCAAAGTCCAAGGGGGCATAACACTGTCCGAAATAGTCTGATCGTAGTTAATAAAGAATTGACTTTCTAGATATTCTTCTGATAGATCTATATAAAGACCAAATTCATTTCATTATGTGCAATCTCTGCGAAGAAAATGAACAGAAACTGATGGAGGACCGACAGACAGACAAAACTGACCAACCGGCAGACAGATAGCAGAAAAGTAATACCCCCCCCCCCACTTCTGCGAAGGGAGATATAATTATTTAAATATTACCTCTGTGTGTCCATCCCCCGTAAACGGAGCCTTCCTGACAACACACTTCTTCTCCAACCTTATCATCAAACTTCTTCTCCATATTCAGCACCAGAATGAAGAATGCCCTTGGACTCAGAAAAATCTGGTGTGATGCATAATAGGCACACTGTCCTGCAAAGTCAGTCATGGTGATTCTCTTGTCTGGATCTGAAATGTTTTTTGCCTCAATTTGCAAATTTCCCGAGATTTCTGATCGATAGGGAACATCTTGATTTTCATTCACAATTTCCTCTACATTTTCTGGTGATTTGGCCCCTTCTGGTTCATGGGATGAGGTGGTTTTAATGTTGATATCATCATGTGATATGTGTCCACTGTTTGATGCTTCTGACGTATTCCCCTCATCATCAACTGGTTTCTCCTTTCCCTGCGTTTCCTCATCATCAGCTGCATTCTCTGGATATTCGGGAACACTCTGTTTCAGATGTTTTGTCTCAAGTCTAAGTTTAAAGCGTTGTTGTTGGCTTGAAGAATTAACTGAAAATGAATGCAATTTGTTTATAACATCTCACTTTTGGTCCCTGTGCTTTATGCATGGTACCCACATTTCCAATATTTATAAGTACAGTAAAATTAGTCATAATAAAGTCCTGGGGACCATTTATTTACTTTGTAATATCCATAGTTTATCTATTTGTATAGGGAAACCCGAAACATGTGAACAATAAAAATAATACGAGACTGCATAATTGAACTCTGACACAGAGATTTTGTATAAGTCTCATTAAATTTAATTCAGTCACTGTGGTAAAAGAGAAGTTGCATATAAGAAATGATACCACGTAACGAAATAAACGGACAAGTGGGAGGATGGATAAATGGACACTCCATCGATATACAACCCCTGCTTTTCAAGTGGGTATTGGGGTGGTGGCCGGTATGTTTTTTTTTAATATATCGACTTCACAAAAAAAACATGTTGACCTCGTACTTCGTTTTACTTTTCCGTGAAGTCGATGAATCTTTGGATCGACCTAATGAAAGGGCTAGGGTTGTACATGTGTAATTGTATAATATACAGAAAAATTAAAGGGACTCTTGGTTCATATTACAAAACCTTAGAACTTCATTACATTGAAGTACTGTGGTACTTAACACGAGTCTTTTGAAATGGTTTTATTTTAATTTGGTCTATCATATACAATGTAATAGCAATTCATAACAAACATTCAACACAATCAACAGACAATACCTTGGATGCTTTCGGTCACATCAAAGACATCTGTGTGGATATCCACTCCTCTGGTTGAACTGATATTTTTCTTTATTTCTTCCAGGTCAATGCCCTTCAGTCTCTCTAACAATGTTGTTTTCCCACTACCAGCACACCCTATTATCATTCCAGAGGCATGATACATGGTTGTCTTCCCTTTCTTTAAATTCTCAATGAAATTTTTCACAGACTTATCTCCCCTCATTATTACCTGGATTGGTATGCCGACTAATAAAGACAAAAACTTGAGTATTATAATGCTTATAACTCATGATTACGAATGTATTATTATCTGTACGTATTATCATCCTTTTTTCCAGCCAATTAATAAAAAAATGTTTAAAGATAAAATCTTTCATCGAGGCAAATCTCTGTCAAAACAGAATGGAAATATACAATGTGTGCACACTCTGAGACAAGATTTGTCTTCTTATTATAAAAATTCATACAAAAGTTGTAATCTCAATTCCATCATTTACTGTAAATCGGTTTTATTCGCTAGGTCTTTTGTCGCGTAATTACCCGAGAAAGTGCGTTCATGAAATTTCATTTTTGCTTATAATAATATTTCTTAAGATTATATATTAAGCAAAAATCACAATTCGTAAATATAGTGACTCCGTAATAATGAATAAATGAACATCTCGCAAAATATACATGTAGTGTCACGAAAATTTAGTGATTTACAGTATACATCTGCTTTCTTTTTTTTAAGATATGAAATATTTCTCACTGAGTTACATTATATAAAACTGAGCTAAACTCTTATCTAAGAAAAGTGAGGCCAAGTTTATAGAAAATGTCAAGGTTAAAAAATATGTGATGTAGGTGAAAGGATTATAATCAGTATGTTTTAGCATAAGAAATTTTATAAATATATATAGAATGGTTTCTATGTAATACTTAGAACGGAATTAAACGAAAGTACGACAGAGGGACAGACATATATTACACAGGCATAAATATCTTATTCTAAACTGTCAAATCCAAAACAAAATATTAATAATTTGTTTAATAAATTAAACAAACATGCTAAGGATGACATCAATATAATGGCAGCGACATTTTTTAAAATATAACTTTGAAAATTGACAAATATCTAATCTCAAAGACTGCTTTATACGTATTTAAATAATTATGAGAGGTGAGCTAAAAGTTGACCTACATTTTCTAATTACAAATTCACGGAATAACTGGTCCTCCATTGTTGGGTGTGTGAAAATATCTTCTCCAAGTCTTTTCAAAAACTTTTCATATTTTTCTTGCATTAACCTACAGCAAACCTCATCTTTTCGTCTTGAATAATACCAGGATCTACAGTATTTAGCAATACTTTCCTTCTCTGCCCAAGTAAGAAAAATATCAAGAAATTTTGAATTCTTTGAAAATTTCAAGAAACTGATATCTTTGAAGAGCTCAGTTGAAAAACTTATCTCTAATTCGTTGAGTATCAGAATGGGTTTGTATTTTTCTACTTCTGTAAGAGCAAATGGCTTTGTGACTTCCTTAGAATGAAAACTTTTGGCAACAGCATTATATCTGTTCATCCAATTTTCTTCTTTCATGTTTATTTTGTATGAATTGGAAAGAAGAAGGGACATTAAAAGTGTATCTCCATCTACAATATAGAAAAGAAATTTTAGGTATCTATGAATAAAACAGTTTCAAACAAAATACTCAGATTACTGAATTACTTCGGGATTTAGTCATGACAATTTCTCTTAATGTTTTACAAAAGTCATATATTGTACAAGTTAATTGCTGATCGTATAAGGAACTGCAAAAGTGTAATGTTTATATATTTCAGTTATAAATCGGGTAAATTAAAGAACAAGAGCCGCGAAGCATCAAAATCCGCACCATCTTTATAATTTATCAATTTATCAAATGATAGTCTTAGTATGTGTAGGTTGTAAAACAATTTACTTTTTACCAATATCTTTTCTAGTTGTCTTTTTACAGATATTTAATTAACGTAAGCATTGTTTTCCAAATGAAATGCTAAGACTTCATGACGTTGACGTTAAATACTTTGACGTCATGGCATAAAGATTACCTGTAGGAGGTAACAATTTTACATTAAACGTTGCTAACAATTGGTAAAGTGCACATGTTTAGAGGTTTACTGCACAAATATAACGTCATCAAATAAAGAATTTGGCGAAAACCTTGTACGTTCGATACTAGTAGATAATATATTTACCATCATTTCTCTAATTTACTCCATTCAAGATTGCCTCAAAAGTATGAGCCTATTATGCCCATTCGTGGTTTTACTTCTTTTTGGAGTAAAAAAATGTCCACATTTTAAGTACAATTAATGGTCCAAATAAAATCAAAAACCAAAATTGCACTTAGTTTAAAAATGTCCGTAACACAATTATGAAAACTAGGCAATTTTTCCAAGAACCGATGCAATAGACTCTTTAAAATTGGAATGATTTATAATACCAAATCACATTTATTTCACCAAATGTTAGAAATTTACACAGAATGGAGTTGCTTCCAATTTCATTTTTGCAAATGAATACAGATAGCAGTTGTCTCTTCTTCGGTATATGTTAGATAATATCCCACTGTACAGAAAACAATGCTACCAACATTTATTCAAATGTTTCTGAAAGGGTGTGTCATCGGGACATTGAAAGAATTTCGTAGTTTATTGTTTTTCAAATACATGTACATGTACATGTATTTATGCAAAAACCATTACGTTTCCAGTCAAAAAGAAAGACATGTATAATGTTTCTGAAAGAGTGTGTGTAATAGACGCATATGTTACACATTTGAGGTTGTTTACCGCTAGTCAGAATTTTAAGACCTGAGAATTTGCAATTGACATCAAAGGCGTTAAATTACGTAGATCCAGCAATAGATGGTGATCATTGTTCAGTGAGAAATACCTACTAAAGAACTCAAGACTCTCTGAGCCTCCGTAAAAAATTTCTTCATATGTTTACCTCTGTAAGTTTATTAGCAAAGACCTTTCAACAATAAACGTAAGTACACACATAAATTCAAGAAATTATACCAGATAATTATGGCCTTAAACTTGCATAAGTAATATTGGATCAGGGTCAACAAACATAATCATTGTATACCTAGTATATAAGCCTACAGTGTTTCTCCATCATGAAATATTAGTCTGCATGTTATTGCACAGACACACAAAGTACATCAAGATAGCCAGATAAAGGAGGTGATTTTCATATACCTCCAAAATTTTGGTTGCAGCCAAACCTACTGGCAACACGGCAGACAATATCGAAAGGCCTACAAACTTTGATCGGAAAATATCCCTTTGGCGTATGGCTATGGTCACTACAATTTGATGTAATTTTTTTTTATAACCAAAGCAGAATAATAGGTAAATACTTAAAATATATTCCATTGGCTACAGATACTAAATTTTAGAGAGGTTTCAAACACTTACCTTTCATCCTATCAATGTTGTTGAACAACTCTTCTATATTTCTAAGGTCATGTCTGCTGTGATCCTCAGAGCTGGTACACTCCACACACATATGAATTTCACAATGGACACAGAATTGGTCAAGGTAATTTCTGGGATGCTTTTTGCATTTGATATTATGCAGAGGGAGACCTGTCAGAAGAGCAGTGTTAATAATCTACATAAAAATCAATATTCATTTATTACAATCATAAGAGAATGCCTTTATTTTCAATCTCTTCTTTTCAAACGAAACTGAAGACCCTTATAAACATGACAATATTAATCTTCATATACCTACTAAATTTTGACCTATAAATTTTTATCCATTAATTTGGACAAATCCTATCCCAGAGGGTAACAATTTGAAAATAAACAAATCTGCACTATTTATTTTTATCATATCTAGAAAGTCAAATACAACACTGAAGCAGGTTAATGACAATTACAATGACAAAAAGCTTATTTTTCCCTTTAAAAATGGAATTTAAATTAAAAATGTTCAGAAGATGTGAAATATGGTTTTATATGAATTAAATTACCTGAGGATCTTCCACGTATGTTTAATATTTCTTTGCTCAGTGGTTCTTGAGAAGATTTTAAAAATATCATTATTTATTCACTTATTTCTTATCATCTCCCCTTGAAAGAGGGTATGGCTCTCATTCGAACAAACAATAAAATCTCCTCCACCCAAAGCATACGTTGTGGTAAGTTTGGTTGAAATTGGCTTTGTGGTTCTTGAGAATTGGAATATGTGAAAAGTTTAAAGACAGACAGACGGACAGAGCTTTCGGCCCCGTTAGCTTAAAATATGTAAAGATATTGATACAGGCTACAGCAATTGGACATGACAAAACATATTCACCTTTAGAACCATCCTCAGCAGCAAGATCTAGGCTTTGTGACATAAGCCGTCCCCCAGGCATACCGTCAACTGTGTGCTTGGTGCTAGAGATGAGCTCTCCGATAGAACTCCCCACCTTATTAAGCTGGTCCAAACCCTGGCCAAAGGGGGGATCACTCCCATACCCTCTACGCTGATAACTCTTTTTCTCAGTTCGTACATGATCACTACTAGTGCTGCCAATGTAAGGGGAATGTCTGCTATATATAGGAAAATTAATCTGTTCATCAACATCCCGTAGAGAAGATCCCGATCTTTCTTTAAGTGCCCTCTGACTGTTTTCAAAAGAGAAAGTGGAGGTTCTTGTGTTTTCATAATCCTCACTACTTTCACCGACCACTGGTGTGTAATAGTTTTGGTGACGCCTTCGGTCACTCCTGGCGTATAACCTCTGGTGAAGATCTCTGGAATCAGAGTCACTGTCGTCATCAGTTTCAAAGTCATCATCATCATGAGGAGCCGTCTGAACTCCCTGAAATGTTGGTTCACTATCACTGCCCTTACCACTCCGCGGCGATTCAATGTCACTTTTATCGGAATCCATCTCGTGAGCTTCATCATAGTCCAGATGATAGGTTGATGTTGGTGTAATTTTGACAGTTGATGGGTAGTAGTCAAAACACCCTCGCTCATCACCTTCGCTATCCTCGTGTTCGGAGTCACTGCCATCGTTGGTGGTCGTCTTACTAGAATTACAGATACCAGAATCATTGTCTGTGCGTTTATTAACTTGTTCCATGTCTATGATACACGACTCTTGGCGTCTGCCATAAGATGTTGACGGGTATGCCATTGGACAACCACCGAATGGGCGGAGCTGAACCCTGTCTAAGTCGTCATCGTTGTCCTCACGCGATGCCCTGT